AAATTTGGAAATTTTGGGCTGAAAATTTGAGGATTTTGGGTCATTTTGGGTGAAAATCGGGATTTTTTGAGTAAAAAAAAATCTGGGTGGTTCTGAGAGAAATTATGAGGTGGAATTTAGAGAATTTTAAATTTTTTTGGTGGAAATTTGGAGGTTTTGGGGGGGGTTGAGATTCGGAGATTTTGGGTCCAAATTTCATTTCTTAAAATATTCAATTTTTAAACCCAAAAAACCTCAATTTTTAACCTAAAAAATGGGAATTTTTGCCCCAAAATTGGAATTTTTTAACCAAAATCACCTTTTTTCCACCCAAATTTTGGGTTTTTTTCCCCCCGAGTCCATCCTGAATTTCCTTTGGCCGCCATTTTGTTTCTCAGAGCCGCCATTTTGAACCCTAAAAATCTCAATTTTTAACCTAAAAAAATTTGATTTTTTCCCAAAATCGGGGATTTTTGACCCAAAATCGGGGATTTTTACCCAAAATTCGCATTTTTCACCTCAAATTTTTGGGTTTTTTTTTCCCCCCAGGACCCCTCGAGTCCATGAGGGAGCTCGTGGTGGTGCCGCCATTTTGTTTCTCAGCGCCGCCATTTTTGTTCCTAAAAACCTCCAATTTTAACCTAAAAAAACGGGGATTTTTGCCCAAAAATGGGAAATTTTTTACCAAAATTCACTTTTTTTGACCCAAACTTTTCTCACCTGTCCCAGATCCCCCCGAGTCCATCCCAAACCTCATTTTGCCGCCATTTTGTTTCTCAGCGCCGCCATTTTTTCTCCTAAAAACCTCCAATTTTAACCTAAAAAATGGGGATTTTTGCCCAAAATCGGAGATTTTTCCCCCAAAATCAGGGATTTTTGCCCAAAATTCGCATTTTTCACCCCAAATTTTTGGGGTTTTTTTTCCCCCCAGGACCCCCCGAGTCCATGAGGGAGCTCGTGGTGGTGCCGCCATTTTGTTTCTCAGCGCCGCCATTTTTGCTCCTAAAACCCTCCAATTTTAACCTAAAAAAACGAGGATTTTTGCCCAAAAATGGGAAATTTTTGCCCCAAAATGGGAAATTTTTGCCCCAAAATGGGAAATTTTTTACCAAAATTCACTTTTTTTGACCCAAAACCTCCTCACCTGTGCCAGGTCCCCCCGAGTCCATGAGGGAGCTCGTGGTGGTGCCGCCATTTTGTTTCTCAGCGCCGCCATTTTTATTCCTAAAAACCTCACATTTTTACCTAAAAAAACGAGGATTTTTACCCAAAAATGGGAAATTTTTTACCAAAACTCACTTTTTTTGACCCAAACTTTTCTCACCTGTCCCAGATCCCCCCGAGTCCGTCCCAAACCTCATTTTGCCGCCATTTTGTTTCTCAGCGCCGCCATTTTTGCTCCTAAAACCCTCCAATTTTAACCTAAAAAAACGGGGATTTTTGCCCAAAAATGGGAAATTTTTG